CACCGGGTCTTCCTTCGGTTCATCTGTCCTTTGGTAAGGGTTAGTTGGGACTTTGTCCAAGACTAATGGTTCATATATTGTCTCCCACTCCTGGTTATAGCGTCTAGTTCCTCAGTCAGGTCATTTAGGTCTAGGACACAGATTTCGTTCATTTCAAGGAATAGATCGAAAGGATCGATCAATTCCTGGTCATGAAAGATAGCATTTACCCCGTGATTTGGCAAGGGGTTAGTGCTAATGTTTGGATTCCTTCTTGGAATAATAGAACCATTGTCCACTAGATCTTGAATGCGATTCTTAAGCGTCCAACACGCTTCAGTCTGATGTCCATTACTCTGATGGTATTCGCAATATTCATTGGCTCTATAGTTTCTTGGTAATGGATTTGGTGGTGGCCTTGCTTCCAAAGGCATGATATAGTTTGCTTTGACAGCTTCTCGGAATACCAAAAGGATTGGCATGCCGAGATCAGTATACGTTCTTCTTGATTGACTACCGTTTCTCGTGTTTCCCATGTTTCCCACACGTAAAGGGTTCGTGGGGGTGATGCTTGCCACTTCGTGGACTTTTCCGGGTTGATTGGGCTTTTTGTATTTTGAGGTCCCCGATTCCTCTTTCAACTGCCCCATTTGAAGTAAATCTTCTACCTTCGTGGCAGTGGCAATGAGCGACTGAAACGTCGGTAGGTATTGGGTTTGTAGTTGCTGTTGGTAGACAGGTTGTAGGTTCTTGATTATTATGTCCACCTGTTCTTGCTCAGAAGGCCGGTTGATCATTTGAGCGGCCTTGGCCCTCCACCTCGTAAGGAACGAGGAACGGTTGATCATTTGAGCAGCTTTGGCTCTCCACCTCGAAAGGAATGAGGAAAAGGGCTCATTGTTTTTTTTTTTGTTTAGTGGTTTCCAGCTCCCTCCGGGTAACACCCACTTCAATATTATAATGGTACTGCGTGTTGAAAGCATTGCATATGTCCTCCCAATTCTTCATTTTGGAACGATCCAAGCTTACAAACCATCTTAACCAATCTCAAAGCAGCGCCGGTGAGTGACTGTTGGAACAACTGAGCAAGGAGCTCGCTGTTTCATCCGAACCGGGTTAAAGGGCACCGCACATACATTTTCAAGTGTGGTTTTTTGGAACACAGTAGTTCCATTCGAAATTTGTCCATGTTTGGCATTTTTTTGACATTTGGTTGGCAAGTCTTGCTTCGGGGAACAGAACAAGGAGTCACATGTCCACGCCTTCTTTGTGTGTCTTAAGGGCGTTAACCAGACCTTTCCTAAGAGTTTGCTATAGCTTTTCTCTCATTTTCTGAGCTTCCAGCTCAGAGGCAGTTTTGGAAGGCATGTCATCCAAGTTAAGGGTAGGGTTTTGAGGCGCAGATGCAGCACAATTGCCGGTCCTGGATTGGAGGCACGCATGATCATTTCCCCCAACCGGAATCCCGTTTGCCATTACCTACCGGCCTGTTCAGCTAGAGTGCGGTTCTCTGGGCGTTCCAATGCCTCATGCATTTCTGCTTCCCATTCTAAAGCTTCCATTTGTTCCATGAGGGGCTTTGATGTCATAAAAGGTGATGCCAATTGGCCTAGTTGAAGTTGGTGAACTTGGTGAATTTGGTGGATAGCACAGTAGGTGTAGCTGGCATCTGACGTGGCGCTTGAACGTGGTCCTGTGGTGAGGGTAACCGGGTTTAGGGTACTGTGTTGTGTATCAAGGTAACTATAAGAGATTAGATTGCGTCTCTTTTGTCGCAACTGTTGCCATGGCTGACACAGAAGGATATTTTTTGTGTCCCTCCAACTCTTTTCTTTTTTTTCTCTTTTTTTTTTTTTTAAATGGCTTATGGTAATGGCAGATGAATGCGCACAAAACAACGTCATAATTTACTCTTTAATGAGATGATTCCGTACCATTGGGTGGCATATAGTCCTAAAGGATAAGTTCTATAGGCTATGACAACAAATAGAGAATCGGCTTAATTAAAGGACCCTGAACCTTTGGAGCATGAATATACCTAACCACATGTGAAACAGGAGTTTCGCGTGGGTCGCAACGGTACGCAATACTCTGGGCCACCTCCAAAAGGAATTAGAGAATGGTTTGCCGGTAACAGGGAGGACGCTTTGGCTATCCGTCGCATAAATCCAAGGAGACCTGCCGATCAGCGCTACTTGCTATCCAGACTCAGAAAGTTTAAACCAGAAGGAGAAGAAATTCATTTGAAAATTTCATTTTTTAATGCAATGAGAAAAGGATTCTCAATCGTGCAAATTAATCTAACAAGTTTTTAATGTCTAATCAACATTTTCCAAATTAAGTCCGGTTTATCGGAAAAGTTATTCAAAAGAGCACTTGAAATTCGTATTAGGGTACCCTGCAAAACAAAGCATAATAAAAATAATGCCTTAAAGAAGGCCGGTTAGTTTTCACAAAACAATTGTAGTCCACCTTTATGCAAAATGATTACATGTCCCAGCAGAGTCGCCAAACTGTGTACCCCTCCCCAACAATATCACCAGCATATGATGCCATGTGAACTAAAGGGAAGAAATGCACGTGAGTGTGTGAGTCGCCACCCTGTTTAATTATTTTAGGGTAAACTAGGAAAACCCTAAGTGGACTCCATTTTTAAATTAAACCTAGTTTACTAAATTAATTATCCCAAATGTTTTAAGGCACAGTCCTGCGACCCGAGGTGGATTCCCGAACTATGTCTGCTGATGAACTAACGATGGATGAATGCTTTTGCAAGGTGAAATGATGGATTAAATGAAATGTTTGTGTGATTTTTGACTTGCGCCCGGGGTGAAATCCCGAACGTGCCTACGTACTTCCGTTTGATGGAAGATCAAAGTCAACGTAGTTCGCCCGGGGTGAAATCCCGAACGTGCCTACGTACTTCCGTTTGAATGGAAGATCAAAGTCAACGTAGTTCGATAGGCCTCTTTTAGAGGGCTTTAAATGGTATGCTTAATGCATGGGTGTGCGTATGCTTCGTGCATGTTGTTTAGGCATTTTGCCGAAAATTGATTGATTTAGGCATTTATGCCAAAATGATTCATTTAAACGATTTGTCGCTTAAAAGGTTGATTTTACGGTTTTAAACCGAAAATGATTGATTTTAAGGCATTTTGCCAAAAATGTCGATTTTAAGCGATTTGTCGCTAAAATGGTTGATTTTAATGATTGATTTTTGAGGCATTTTGCCAAAAATGGTCGATTTTAGCGAATTTTTTGTCGCTAAAAATGGTTGAATTTTACGGTTTTAAAAACCGAAAATGGGATTGATTTTGAGGCATTTTTTGCAAAAAATGTCCGATTTTAAAGCGATCTTGTCGCTAAATGGTTGAATTTTACGGTTTTAAACCGAAAATAGATTGATTTGGAGGCTTTTGGCCAAAAATGTCGATTTTAAAGCGATTTGTGTCCGCTAAATGGTTTTGATTTTGACGCGTTTTTTTAAACCGAAATGATTGATTTTGAGGCATTTTTGCCAAAATGTCGAGTTTTAAGGTCGAGTTTGTCGCTAAAATGGGTTGATCTTTACGGTTTTAAACCGCGGGAAAATGATTCGATTTTGCCAAAAAACGTCGATTTTAAAGCGATCTTACGGTTTTAAACCGAAAATAATTGATTTTAAGGCATTTTGCCAAAAATGTCGATTTTAAGCGATTCGTCGCTAAAATGGTTGATTTTACGGTTTTAAACCGAAAGTAATTGATTTTAAGGCATTTTGCCAAAAATGTCGGTTTTAAGCGATTTGTCGCTAAAATGGTTGATTTTGAGGCCTTAGGCCGAAAAGTGTTGATTTTAAGGCTTTGAGCCGAAATTGATTGATTTTAAGGCGTTTCGCCAAAATGGTTCAATTTTACGACTTTTGGCCGTAAAAAGTTTGATTTTTGATTAAGCGGAATTTTAGTTGACGTGATTGATTTAAGGCTTAATTTAAGCGATTTGTCGCTAAAATGGTTGATTTTAAGACCTTTGGCCAAAATGTGTTGTTTTAGGAATTGGACTTAGCCGGATTTGTTCAACTAGCAGTTTGAACCGTAGTTATTAATTAACTAGGTTTTTTTAAGCCCAATTATGTCGGATTAGCTTAATACCACAATGATTAATTAATCCGGGCGCTTAGTTAAGCTTTTTCTCTTTTGATTCTCTGCCACGAACTATTAGAAGTCTCATTATATCTGATTGTTCTGGCTCTCCTTACTTGAGATATAAATAAAATGTTTTATTTGGAGAAAAAAAAAATAAATAAATAGGCAGAGTTTTGTTTACATACCTGATTTAATCGACGACCGCTTCTTAATTCCAGATTTAGCTCCTCGCGTAGGAAATATTAATTAGTTTGAATTTGTTTAATTTTTAATGGCCAAATAACATAACATAAACATAAAAATTGAATTAAAAATGCATAAAAGCGATAAAAGAATCGCAAAAGCGTGAGGGAGAAGCGTGGGAGGGAGAAAGATCGTCCGTCAACACAGACAGGGGTCGCAAAATTGGACTGAAAATGGCCTATTTATAGGCATTTTCGGACCAAGGGCGGCAGGTGCAAATTTATTGTAGCAAAAGTCAAATTTACTGTAGCAGTCTGGGAAAACTGGCTTTTTGAGCCTCAAAATTTGAGTATTCACAAGGTCACATATCCAAAGAAAGGATTTTGAGAGGTTAGTGAAAGGTGGAATCTTACCTCAATTGGATTTCACTGATTGGGACGTGTGTATAGATTGCATTAAAGGTAAGCAAACTAAGCACACATTAAAAGGCCTTCGCCCACGCGGCAGAAGAGGCCTCGCCGTCGCGCGGCGCGGAGCCTCGCCGCGCGGGGCGAGAGGCCTCGCCCTCGCGCGGTGCGGGAGGTCTCGCCCGCGCGGCCGCGCGGGGCGAGAGTCCTCGCCCGCGCGAGGCGAGAGGTAGCACAGTCAAATTTACTGTAGCAAAGTCAACCAATAGGCTTTTTGAGCCTCAAAATTTGAGTATTCACAATTACTGATTTCCCAACAAATGCAATTACAAATGTTGACAGTAGCATATGAAGTGAAAGTGAACCAGGTGTGAATGTAAGTAGCTCAGAGTTTCATGAGAGTTTTGGCGGCGTCAATGAACTTATTTCCATAAATGTTGGGATTGAGGGTGAGAATGTTGATGAATATGAGGAGATTGAGATAGAGGTTGATGCAGGGTACCATCCAGGGAGAGAAAATGAAGAATTAAACACAGCTTGTGAAAAAATTAAGAATTCTTTTTGCCAATAGAAGAAATGGCAAAAGAGTGGTGAAGAAGATGAGGTTGAGGAAGCAATTCAAGATAATGTTACCTAAGAAGAACCAGCTGAAGGAAATCCTAAAGAGGTATCCTTAGAAGAAATCTTGGAGCATGATAATGATGAAGAACAGAATGGAGAAGGCAATGCATTTGATGATGAAGGCAGCATTGAAGAACTTGGTGGGGATGAAGATCATGGAATGTCATAAGGAAAAGAAGAAAAAGGGTAAAGTATAATCCTTTTGTCACCCTTCGTTCATTTATGATTGGAATGGTTTTCGAAAATTCCACAGAATTTAAAGATGCTTGCACTAAGTATGCTATATCTAGGGGGGTTGAGGTAAAATTTGTTAGGAATGATAGGGACAGAGTAAGAGGTAGATGCACGTTCCCAGGTTGTCCTTGGGAGGTTTTTGCTTCAACGGATGGAAACTCTAATGATCTTGTTGTCAAAACTTATAAGCATAAACACAAATGCTTTAGAGTTTTTAGGAATAAGAGGGTGTCCATTAAGTACCTAGTTGACTATTTTAGGGATATTAGTAAATTGTATCCTAAAACAAAGATTATGGGTATGATGGAAATGGCAAAGAATATTTTGAGAGTTAATGTGTCATTTTCCATGGCTAGAAGGGTGAAGAAAAAATTAAAACTTGAGATTGAAGGTGATCAAATATTGAGTATGGCAGGTTGGAGGATGATGCAGAGGAGTTAAGACAAATGAATATAGATTCTACTATTCAGGTTCATTCTAACCCTCAACACACAAGTTCGAGGGTTTCTATGTATGTTTTGATGCCTTGAAAAGAGGATGGAAGGCAGCTTACCGACCTGTGATTGATGTTGATGGTTGTTTTAAAGACATCATGCAAAGGAGAGTTACTAATGGCAGTTGGGAGAGATGCAAATGACCAACAGTTTCCTATTGCATGGGCAGTTGTTAGGATAGAGAACAAGGAGAACAAGAACACATGGAACTGGTTCATAAATCAGTTGAAATCTGATCTAGATTTGGAGCACAAGCAAGATTTGGTTATAGTATCAAACATGTAGAAGGTACAATACTTTTAATTTTATTTTTTAAATGAATTTTCGATATACATTTCTGAATTTATAATTTGTAAATTATCTGTACTTGGTTAAATGCATTTCTGGTATGCATTTTTTAATTTATAATTTATAATGCCTCAGGGTTTCCTGTTAGTTGTATTATGTATAGCTCTTTGTTGACTTGGGTTCTTGATGTGGCTTGTATTATGTATAGCTCTTTGTTGACTTGGGTTCTTGATGTGGCTACACAACTTGGGGTATATTCTGCTATGTTCTTGACCAATTCTGCTTTTGTAGGTTGATTTAGTTTTGGTCTAAGTTAATTAGATTCTTCACTTTACTGCAAATGAGAGTTACACATGATAAAAACCGCGCACATCAGTAAATATATGGAAGTACTTAGATCAGATACATACTACTGCACATTCAATAAATAAACAACGAGAAAGCAAAGCTCATAGTGCATAATCTTCTAATCACTTACAGTCTTTTTTTTTTTTTTTTTTTTCTTACAGTTTCCCTTGATTGGTCATAAATTGGGATAAAATCATATAATTTCGTACATTTTTTTCTTTCTTTTTCACTTTTTAGCTGAATTCTTGCAAATCAACAGCTTTATTATAGTAAAGTTGAATTTGCTTTTTGCACAAAACAAATCTATAGAGACTGAATTCTTGAATCACAGCTTTATTTAGTAAAGTTGATTGCTTTTTGGCACAAAACAAATCTATAGAAGTTCACTTAGCAAAGTGACTAATGCTAATATCATATAAAATGATTTGTGTCAAATGAACACACCTTTTTCTTATTAGCTAGCTTCTTACACACTTTATTCTGCACTCACAAATACATGAAACCCACCTGAATCCAAGGAAGGTGGATCCACATTCATGTGAGTGAGGCGTATTTTGCTAGTACCAGGAGCACATAAAGCCAATTTTATGTACTTCATAAACCTGTATAAAAAAAAAGGACAACTGCTGTTAAAAGTGGTACTTGAAATGAAAGCAGTGGCAAATTAACTTTGAAGCCAAATTTCTCTAGGTTGTAAAAATCTTGGAATGTGATTAGGCATTTTCAGGTTCAAAGCTTCTTGTTAAGTTGAATGAAGCTAATTAATTTCTTGAAAATGTATATATTAAAATAGAAAAAGAGAAGGGAAATTGGTTATTTTGTAGCAGTATAGGTACTGCTGGATTGGAGAGAGTGTGAAGTACTCTGAATTGAGTGCAAATGGAGCTTTGAATCTTATATGATGGTGTTCTGTTGAAAGCTTTGTAATTAAAATCAATATTGTCTTTCCTAGTTTAGGTTTATTGTCTTTCCTAATTTAGGTTTATTCCTATTTAGATCTCTTCGTATATTGGAACAATCTTGTGTATATATATAGGTAGAGATTGAAAATATAAACACACCATAAAAAAAGAAATTCGAAATATTTCTATTCAAACATGGTATCAGGAGCAATTTGCCGTGAATTTTTTTTTGGGCAAACTGTTTCGCATTTGAAACAGGGGCTGAGATATACACAGTGCGCCGGAATTAGGAGTTGGCCGTCACCGCCAGCTCAGAAGGAGAGGGACGCCGGATCGGCCCTCCCATCCAAGCACGCTCGCTGTCAAACACGCGCTTGTGCGCACGCGCCGCCAGAAGTTTGTCGGCGTTCTTTCACGCCGCCGGCGCGTTGCGGCTGTTTCCGGGCGAGATCCCGTCGACGTTTTTTGTTCCGACGGCCTCATCTGTTGTGGCTTTTCTTCCCTTGATGGTTCTTCAAGCACAGTTTTGCTTTTTGCATTTTTTCCTTTTTTGAGTTGAATTTCTGCAGCTGCCAGTTCTTCGCCACTGCCGCTTAAAAATTTTTTTTCTAGCAATATGGCTAGACGAAAAAGGTAGATATGGGTTTTTCAACTCAAAGAGCCCCTCTTCTTCAATTAGTCCGTAGTTAGATGAGAACAAAAACTACCTGCGTTGGTCTCGATCTTGCTTATTATTCATTGAGCAAGAGGTTATTGCAGGGACTACCTTGATTGCCACAACTAAACCAAGCAGTTCACAGTTCCCAAGGATTAACAAATGGAAATCAGAGCAATTCTCTTTGATTATGTCTTGGTTAATTAAATTCCATGCAGCCAACTATTGCCCGAGGCTATTTGCTTCTTGATTACAAGCTAAGAAGATATCGGGATGCCGCTTCACAGACGTATCGCAACTGAGAAACTAATGCTCAGAGGTATGAATTGCGACAGAAAGTGGCATGAAACCAACAGGATCTGACTATGCTCATATTTTGCTAACGTAGTGGGTTATTTGCAGAACTGGATTAATTACCAAGACTTTCAAGCCAAATGTACTGATTGAGGCGGACTCAAAGTTCAGAAGGTTGATGAAGTAGAACGATCGTGTTGATTTTTCTAGCTGGCCTAAACACCGAGTATGAATCAAATTCGAGTCCAAGTTCTTGGACGAGTCCTATTGTCCATCCTTGCGACAAGCATATTTCTTTTGTACAGCAAGAGGAGCACTTCGAGGAATTGCAAATGGTTCACAGATCTTACAATTGATAAAGGCAGCGTTACTGCTAATTCTGCAAGTGGAACCATATACAGGCTGCCAAGAACGGGTTCTTCGAAACAGAGATTCAATTATTTGTGACTTTGTGAGGTAAAGAATAGGCACACGAAAGGGAGTTTCTGCTGGAAAAATTACATGGACGCCCAACAAAGGGCGGGAGGAAAAGCGGTTGTCAGTTCTTTCTAGACTGCAGGCACACATATCTGATGGTGGAGCTTTATGTGAGGAAACATCTACTAACTGTAGCTTTTCTGATAAGGGAAATTCAGTCCTGAAACGATTGTTGTACAGCCTGATTTCTTCCTCAAACTCAGACTGCAGCTTTTAATTTTGTTATCAGGTAATGCTTTCTTACCTTTCTTGCAAAAAAATTGCAAAACCCTTTGGGTATAGGATTCAGGAGCAAATAAACATACAACAGGCTCTATAAAACATTTCCTCACATATTCTAAGTATCAAGGCACAGAAAAAATTCGCATTGCGAATGGCTCCTTAGTACCCATTGCTGGCGCAGGTTCTATTAACTGTACTTCCAATATTAAACTCTCCTCTGTTCATGTCCCTAGATTCCCTATTAATCTGTTATCTGTTAGCTTAATCACAAAAGCGCTTTATTGCAAAGTAACCTTTTACCCTACTCATTGTATATTTCAGGAACTGAACACGGGGAGAACGATTGGCAGTGGTAGCTTGCGCGATGGACTGTATCGGAACTGTATCTGTGTGGAATGACGTTTGTCGTTTTTCAAAGCGGTACCCGGTCAAGCTTTTTAGGAAACTTCCTAGAAAACCCTTCCCATGAAGTTATTCAATGGCATAAGGAGATTAGGAATCCCTCTTTTTCTGTTTTTAGGACGTTTAAATTTCCCACCTTTAAAAATTTGCTAAGTGTGATGTCGATTCATTATATGTGATGCTTGTGAACTTGCCAAACAGCACCAGGCATTCTTATTCTTCAAATTAATAAATAAAAAGCTTGATTCCTTTGCTATAGTCATTCTGATGTATGGGTCCTAACTAAAAAACTGTCTCTCTTTCTGGTTATAGGTGTTTGTGACCTTTATTTGATTGTTGTACTAGATTAACTTTGGGTGGTTTATTTGATTGAAAACAAAAAATGAATTTTTTCGTGTTTCGAGAAGGTCCATAGAATGAATTTGTACTCAGTTTTGATGCGCATGTTAAAATCCTAAGAACTGATAATGGTACTGAATACATTGAATGCCAGTTTTTCTTACCTATTTAGGATTCTAATGGGGTATTATACATCAAAATAGTTGTGGTCAATAACTAGTGCTCAAAATGAGTTGCCGGAAAGAAAAAATAGGCATTTACTGGAAAGTAGCTAGTCTCTTATGTTCACTATGAATCTTCCCAAAACCATATGGGGGATTGCTATTTTGACTGCTGCTTACCTTACAATCGTATGCCGTCTTCGTACTTTTAAAATTTAAAACTCTATTAGGGTTCTTCAAGGAAAAAACTCTTATAGTGTACCCTCCTAAAGTCTTGGTTGTGTTTGTTTTGTTCATTAGAAATGGTCTAAGCAATTAAATCCTAAGCCTTGAGTTTAGTGTGTGTTTGTTGGTTACTCTGCTGACGTCAAAAAGGATACAAGTGTTATCCATCCTCCTTCTAGAAAATATTTTGTGAGTATGGATGTTACCTTTCGGGAATTTGAGTCTTATTTTCCTTCCCAATCACCTCTTCAGGGGGAGAAATTTCAGATGGAAGAGGTGATGAATGACGTTCCTTTCCAGGGGGAGTTTCCTGTAGACATAGTGTGACACCTTAGGCGAATCCCACATCAGCTAAGCACAAGGTGGAAGTGATGCACATAAGGTGTGACAGGCCTTGAGCTACTGAGACGCGTTTTGGGCTAGGAGGTGGTTCCCTGGCCCAGGAACAAAACCGTGCGGGCCTGGGGCCCAGCCGAACAAGAACTTGGTGAGTCTTCTTATAATTCCTGATATTCTATCCTAATCGTGATTCCAGCCCTTCTGACAATGACCTTTGATATTCCCTATTGCTCTTAGAAAAGGAGTTAGAAAATGCACTAAACACCTATCTCCCATTCATCTCCTTTATAATGCTCTTGTCCCCTCCTATTAGAGCCTTTGTTTTGTCTGTTCTTCTTTTCTATTACACAGGATTTGCAAGAGGCATTACAGACTCAAAAATGGAAGGCTGCAATGGTTGAGGAGATGAGAGTTTTGCGCAAAAAAAAACGAGACATGGGATCTTGTAACTCGCTCCATCAAGAAAAAGAAGCCAGTTGGATGTAAATGTGTGTTCACAGGTAAACATAAGCAGATTGGGTTCCATTGAGAGGGTACAAGCCAGATGGTAGCTAGAGGGTGCAGTCAGAACCTATGGAGTTGGATACAGAAACTTTTGCCCGCTTAGCCAAAATGGGAATACAATTAGAATTTGCTGTCTTGTGCAGCCAATCTGACTGGGGAATTACATCAGTTTGATGTTAAAAACGCTTTTCTTACATGGTGATTTGAAAGAAAGAGTGTGATATGGAGATTCCTCTGGAGTGTTTGATGATGACAAGACCAGAGGAAAAGTTTGCAAGCTGAAGAATATTATAATGGGCTGAAGCGAATCCACCAAGGCGATGGTTGAAGGATTAGTAAAGCATGCTTTCTTTTGGGACATGCCAGACGATGTTGATCATACTTTGATTCATCAGAACATCAAACATCATAAAGGTAAATCACCCTGCTTATTGTTTATGTTAGAATAGTAGTGATGACTTGGAACATTAATGAAGAAGAAATGAACTTCATGTGAGAAATTTGTTTAGCTAGGTGGAGTTGAGATTAAGGATTTGGGAAAAGTGAGATATTTCCTTGGGATAGAAGTTGCTAGATCAGAAAAAAGGAGTTTTTATTTCTCAAAAAGTACATCCATTGATTCTCCTTAAAGAAACTGGTATTTGGATGTAAACCCGCGAATCACCTATTGAAGCCAATCATAAGCTATCAAGCTGAGTGGAAGTGCAGTTGATGTTGGCAGTATCAGAGATTGGTCAGGTTGATTTTACCCTTGCCCATACTAGACCACGATATGCCTATGCTGATAAGTTTAGTGAGTCAGTAATGCATTGACCCTCGGAGTCTCCACTTAGAAGCTGTGCATCGGAATTCTAAATATTTAAAATCAGCTCCTGGTTAGAGACTTTATTTTCTAAAACATGGCCATTTGACAATAACAGGCTATTACAGATGCGGAGTTGGCTGGTTCTCTTGATGATAGGAGATCAACCTCAGGAGAGTGGTGTTTTCTTGTTGAGGAAAACTTGCTCACGATGGAGAAGCAAGAAGCAGGCTTGTTGTTGCCAAGGTCCAGTGCAGAAGCAGAATATAGAGCTATGGCACAAGAATATTTGAACTCTTGGTTGCCGCAGGTTAATGAAGAATTAAAAGTTTGGTTGAAACAACCAAATATATCCTTGTTTTTGTGATAGTAAAGCAGCCATCAGTATTAGAATAATCAGTCCAGCATGATCGAAAACTAAAGCACATAGAGAGCTTGATCGTCACTTATAAAAGAGACGATAGTGAAGGCGCTTATAAAGGTCTCCTTATAGCTTTCAAAAGAGCAACTAAGCCGATGTTTTCACGAGGGTTTGAATAGCAAACTGTTTCATCCTTTGCGTTTGCAAGTTGGCATGAGTAATATATCTATTGCACCAACTTTACGGGGGGAGTGTTGAAGCTGTGTAATTTAAAATCCAAATGGTCTTTTCCTAGTTTAGTATTGTCTCCCAATTTTATTTATTCTCCTAATTTAGGTTTATTCCTATTTAGATCTCTTCCTATATTGGAACAATCTTGTGTATATATATAGTGATGTAGAGATTGAAAATATAACACACAATATAAAAAGAAATTCGAAATATTCTTTCAACATGTTCCATTTGCTTGCTTTTCAAATCCAAAAAATAAATCAGACGTGATCTCAACTTATTTACTTATTCCATGTTTTCTAGTTCCCATGTGGTTTTTTGATTATGAATTAGGGTATGCTCGCGGTTTGGTTTCTAATTCTCTTAATGCATATACTAATATTATAATTATTTGACTATGTGCTGCTTTTTGTACAATTTTTATGCCTAATTTCTTCGGATTGGAGATATTATTATTCTGCAAGTGTAAATGAAACTTTTACCGAGAAATGTCTTGTATGTATATGTGTGTGTGTGTGTGTGTGTATCTCAGCAAGTTGATTTACTAAGGGATAATTAATTAGACAAGAACCTTTAGCAATGGCTTATCAAGATTGTTTTTGTTATTGACATTAAACCTAGGTGATGTTATTGACATTACACTAAGCAAAATCAAAATCACCAGACAAGAAATGATTGCAGATTCATACATTTGTTGACCTGAATTCATTTTGGTTGTTTTAAGTTGAATTTTTTTTTTTTTTTTTGGTTAATCATTAATGGAATTATGACATTAAATATGGTCATGGTTTTCAGATTTTTGTTCCTTAAAGCTGGATAATTTACTTGAGCTAGAACTGTCATTCCCATTTGATAATTGACAAAGTCATTGCTCTGCCTCTGCTTGCTTTTGTTTTTAAATTTTCCTTTTCTTTCTTTCTCTTCTTTTCTACCATTTTTGAACCACCGTTTGACATAAATGGAAGGGAAATGACCACTAGCAATCCAAGGGTACCATAATCATTGATTGGTATTTTTCACTTTTTTTTGCTGGTCCATGACTATTTTATCATTGAACACTTTTATGTATCAGATCCAAGAAACTACCTGTTAAGAACATGCTTTTGCTGTTGCTATTTGTTTCACCATTGGGCAATAGTCAGTAGCAAAACAAACATAAAATTCATATTTATTGCGTGGCTTAGTAATATATATATATGAGCAGTCTGAGTGAAGGGTCAATATTAGAGAATACTTCAGGAAAACTAGGAGGCATCTTCACCTTTTGTTTGCATCATTCATTTAAAGATAGGGAATACTTCAGCTTTTATCTGTCTGAATGATGAAAACATTGAAAATCTTTTCGCGTTCTGTCTGCAGTCTCCATTCTATACTTAAGCAATGTTTAACGTGTAAATAATGGCCTGCTGGACTTAAAATATCAATCTTTTAGGCTTTTTTTTTTTTTTTTTTTTGTTTGTTTTTTGTTTTTTTTGGTTTACTGCTCTTTATTTTTCAAATAACAGACTGGTGCATGCAATAATTTGTATAGTTTTTTTTTTTTTTTTTTTTTTTGGTTTACTGCTCTTTATTTTTTCAAATAACAGACTGGTGCATGCTATAATTTGTATAGGATGTGTTTTTTCTAGATAAAAACATCACAGATTCTGGGCTTAGATGATAGAGTTGATCACAAACACTAATAAGAGCTTGCAAATAAAATTTCTTTTGTAAGATGAACCAACTTGTCAAATGCTTGTCTGATAACTCATTTTATAATGTCAGATACTAGCTTGGTAGAATTTAGATTTGTCTATTACGTTTAAGTCTTAATTTGTAACTTGTTACATTCTATCAAACTCTGATAATTTTTGTAACTTGTCATTTGTCAATGAATTTGTTAGGGACTCATTGATGCTGTGCAAAATCAATTGCCTCTTGCTGAACACAGATGGTGTGCTATGCATATATTTAGTAGGTGGCAAAAAAAATGGAGAGTTATGAAAACATTTTTGGATTTGCTCAAAAAGTACGTATTGGCAGCAATTTCAAGACCAATTGAAAGTCATGGATAGTCTTGCTCCAGGTTCAGTTGCTGAATTGCTCAATTGGCCTCCTCCAAAGTGGTGTCGAGCATATTTTGGTACTGCTAGTAAGTGTGATAAAGTGGATAACAATATGTGCGAGTCTTTTAATGGAAACATTTTGCAATCTAGGACTAAGCATATTGTGACAATGCTAGAAGAAATAAGAATTGACATGATGAAGAGGATAGTTGAAAGAAGGAAAGAAGCTTCTAAGTGGGTTACAGACATAAGTCCTGCAGCAATAGTGAAGTTGGAACAAAACATGGTTAGGGCATGTCAGTGCCATGTTGAGTTCAATGGCAATCATGGATATGATGTATCAGAAGGAAACGATAGGCATACTTCTGACTTTGCTAAAAGAATATGCACATGCAGGGCATGTGATCTCTCTAGTATCCCATGTGCACATTGTATCTGTGCTGTTTATCACTCAAAAGGAAACATATTGGATTATGTAGATGCATGTTATAGCAAGAAAAATTCTTGTTGTCATACAATTTTTCACTTGAACCTGTGAAGGGTAGCAACATGTAGCCAATGACTGAAAAGCCTAGAATATTGCCTCCGGATGTGAAGAAAATGCCAGGCAGGCCAAAAAGAAATAGAGTCTAAGACCTCGATGAACCAAAGAAGTCTGGAAAAATCTCAAAGAAAGGGACACAAATTATTTGTTGATTATGCAAGTGTAAAGGTCACAACAAAAGTAGCTGCAAAAACAAGGAGCAATTCAGTCAAAATACATCGCAGGTCACTACTGATACATTCTGTTTATGACTATATTCTGTCTTTTAATATTATATGTTTTAATTTACAGATAATCCTTATTTCTTGGTAGAGCCCAAATATGAATACCTCATGGATTGATTGACTTTTGTGCACGATTTCTTTAATTTGTATTTTTATTATCTCTGTGAACAAAAGAGTATATAACTAGTTTCTGTTTTCTTCTTACACAGGAGAGTATACATGTTCAACCTCCTACACTTGATTCGAGCACACTCAAAGAATTTGCACCATTCCTTAATAAAAATTGGAGTTATGGTAGAACAGAAAATGCTGTCAATAGACCAGTTGGAGGAATTAGAATTCAAGACCTGCTAATCAAGGCCAACAGCCACAATTTGAACCACAAGCTGCCACTTCAGGAAAGGGAAAAGAAAAAGATAGAGCCACCACAAAAAAGAAAAATGCAGGAACAGGAATGAATAGCTTCGGATTCGGTTTGTATTATAATGGTTCAGATGGTAGTGCCACTTGGAATGTAAGTGTGAAATCTATGAAATAGAATTTGTATTATTCAACTATTTTGCATGTATTTGACTGAGAATTTAATGTATTATTGTACTTATGTATTGTTATTTTATATCCAAATGCAGCAAGGTATGTGGACTGAGAAGATTTTGAAGTCTACCAATCCAATACCTGTTGAGTAACAAAGAAAAATAATAGCTGAACCCCCTTAGATGGTTTATGCGCACAACAAAGCACATGGTTCATACACTCAAGCAGGGGCACGTTTCATCTGTGGGAATTCTTCTAATACTCAAGCGTCTACAACGATTGCACCTTCATTGCAAGGAACCCAGTTTGCAGGTTCAGATTATCTGCAACATTTCAATTTCATTCCAACACCAAATGCACCTGAGGCACCAAATACTCAAAAATCAAGCAATTTTATGGACCCAAGCCAAGACTTCAATCAAGACAGTTCATATGGTCTTTTTCCGAGTGTTCCACGTAAGAAGCCAACCAATAAAAGACAGACAATGTGGCCATTGAGGTCTATTTGGAAGCCATGAAGCTCTAAAGTGTGATTTTGTGATTGTTCTGTTTTGGTAGTTGATTAAGTACTTTTTAGGGTACCTTTTTTTTGCTTAGAAATGTCTCTTTTGAAGAATTGTTTTGATCTTTTTGCATAGATGATACACAGGAAAGACAGGTGATACACAGGAAAGGCATAACAGATTCAAGGCATTTTTTGTTTTTTGCCCTGTATTTTTTAATTCCTTCAAGCAAATCTTATGCAGACAACCACATTTTGCATATTTGCAGAATTAATATATTAAAATTATGCAATTTATCCCTTTAAATCTTCTATTATTCACTTTGCTTTTGATAATATGATATTTGTGTTTATGTAATTGTACAATTTAGTGTAAATTACAACAAAATGACATTCAAGCAAGAAATAGGAAACAAGAAGCCCTCTCAAATCTTTCATTGCACAGTTTAAGGCAGCCTAAAAAAAGATCAATATTCAATTACAACCATTTCTTGCTTCCACCTAATCAACAAACAGCAAAAAGCACTATTTCTTTCTTACTTCCACATAATTAACCTAAAACAAAAGGTAACATCTCACAACTATGTATTACTGCTTAGACATCTTTAAATAAAACATTACCAACAAAAGTACACTAAAGTAAACTGCAAAATACAAGAAGATTTCTCTTCTCTTCATCATCTGTAGTTCGATCCTTTGTTCCCTTAACTCCATTAATAAGTTTTCCACCTCCCCTGATATTGTAGATGAAATATTATCATATCTACCACTTCCACTGTTTTGCAAATAGTCACCGGCATGTACTGAATTTTTCCAATGTATTTGTGATGACAGCTCATTAATCAATTCTACAGCCCTATCATCCATCTTAGCATCATGCCTCTGAAAGAAGTCACATCCCCTAGGCTGGATAAAAATAAATAGATAAGCATACAGCATCACATTGTTATATATGGATATCAACAAAATATTGTTTCTCAACAAAAGAAAAAAAACATTACAATCAAATTTACCTTTAAAAACCTGTACGCATAAAATCAAAACAAAAAAATATTACAACCAAATTTACCTTCAAAAACCTACGTGCATAAAATCTTTCTACCTGGTTTTTATCGGTCCAAGAAACACGACGTGGAGCCTTCAAACCACGTATACAATATTGAGCCACTCCCTCATAATCATGCTCTAGATGAGAACCTCCATTACTGCAAATGTTGGGTGAGCTTGAATATCGACCTCTAGAAAGCGAGCTTCCTTGATCTCTCATCCTCGTTCTCTAGTTGATTAAGAATTTCTTTGTGTTAGAGGTTCTGGTTTTTGATAATTTAGGGATTTTGAGAAACAAAATTAGCATTTTAACTGTAATTACGATTCATAGAATATTTTCATCTTTAATTATTGTTTTTTTAAAAAAACATTCTTTGACCGCATGTGAACCATGCTCTCGTACCTACTGAAGGTCTGAACTATTTGGCTGTAATACGCTAACTAACCAAAAAATTTGGCTTGAAAGTTAAAAATATGGATCAATTGATTTTGGGGACCAAGTTGAAAGGCCAAAATGAGCCTTTTTCCTTTAATTTATAATGACAGGGGCTCGACCCTATTTATATATTTAGGCATTTTTTGCCTTTATATGCTCTCTTAGAGCTTCAATTATATAGTGATAGGGGCTCGGCCCTATTTATATACTTAGGCACTTTTTGTCTCTATATGCTTTCTTAGAGCTTTAGTTTATAAATGGTAGGGCTTGGCCCTATTTATTCATTTAGGCATTTTGGCCTTTATGTGCTCTCTTAGAACTTTGAATTTATGACTGTTAGTGGCTTGACCCTATTTGTTCCATAGGCATTATACTCCATCCGTTCTACTTTAATAGTAAAAAATAGACATTTTACCTTATTCCACTTAAATGCTCATTTAAGATTTTAAAACTACATTAATTATTCTTTTTCAATTTTACCAATATTTATAGATATAATTTATTTTTATATTTATATTTAAGAATGACAATTTATACATTCTACCGTCTATTTTTGAAAAATCAATGAATTCCAATGATTTTCTTAATCCCAGTGAAAAGAGCAAATATTACTATTAAAGTTAAGGGATGGAGTAACTTAATTTCTCATACTAAAGTCTTATGCATCTCATACACATCAATAACTTGTCAAACCACTCAAACCGCCAAATGAATCCAACCAATCAAATGACACCAATACCATTCTTGGTTTGATTCAACTCACAAATTACCATAATTGATTTGATGCCAGACCGAAAAATCCCTACCGAATAGTGAATCGCTCTAATGTCATTATAAATAGTAATAAGGGTCTACTGGGATATACAAAATCAAGAACATTTCGAATTTTAATTAGCTAGATCTACATAATAAAGATATAAATACAGGTGAGGGTTACTAAGAAATGTGGTACACAAAATCATTGATATTATCATTGGAAAAAAAAAAAAAAAAAAAAAAAAAAAAAAAAAAAAAAAAAACCATGATATTATCATTGAAAAAAAAAAAAAAAAAAAAAAAAAAAAAAAAAAAAAAAAAAAAAAAAAAAAAAAGAAAAGAAAAAAAAGAGGAAGATAATGCATCAATTCACCACATGGAATGAAATGAGAAAAAAATTTACAGGAGTTACAACCCACGAGTGGCATAGCATTGGCATTGGCATTGACAGTTGGAACTAAGTAAGCTTTCGCCAGAATACTTTGGTAGCCTGTAAGGACTTCACCTTTGAGAAAACGAAACCGGTCCTTGGAGGGTTCCCTCCCACAAGTGAATTCTCATAAATTTCTTTGCATTCTTGTACCACCTGTGACAGGGACAATGTAAATTTAGTTTGAGATTTATTGAAAAAGTTCTGATAACTAAAAAAACAAATTGACTAGTTGAAGCAGATATATCCCAATGGAGCAGTGCCTCATCTAATGAAAAAGACAAGCAATGCCGCCAGACATTTCATCTTAAGGATAATATTTGTGTCTCAAATTGAGTTATATGGTTGTCGATCATATTTCAACACCCCAAAAGAAAGGCTTCATTTTATTTAATTATTTTCTTTTCCCTCCTGTTTGATATAGACGAATTTGAAGTAAAGAATTCATTTATAAATGATTGAATTTTTTCCAATTATGCGGAATTCCATTAAACCGAATTCATGGAAGTAAAACAAATATTTTCTTTTTATACTGAAACATGAAAACATAAAATTCCAAATGCTTTCCATAAGATTTCATAGAATTCCTTTTATACCAAATAAAGCCCCAGGATGACCTTAAGCTTTTAATTTGCACAAAGAAACTATATCACTAGGTTGATTACCTCTTTTGCATCCTTCCTTGGTATGCCTTCTCGCATTCCAACAAGCTTCTCAACTACTTCAGGCTACATTAGATTGGTAAAATAAAAAATAAAAAATAAAAAAAATCATATAATGGGGACATTATTGGCAGAAAACTTCAGTAAATTTGAGATACATGCAGATTTGAAAAAAAAACAGGAAGAAGGTGCTTGGAATTCTGCTGCCATATTTTAGTGGAACAGAATTCAAAAGCTGAAGCAAAAATTGAATTAACATTTTGCCCAATCATAGCGCACTAGGCAAAACCAAGTCCCACCATTGGAAATAAGATATATCCAGAACAAAAGAAAGAGGCTGCTAATGTTTACCGGACAGTCAGGTTGATGTTCAAGAATATTTGTATAGATGAGTGTGAAGGTATCCAAGCTCTCTGCTGAAGCAAGGTCTCTTAAATCGCTCATTATCCTGACTCTACTTTCCACTTTCTGAAGCAAATATCAAAGAGTTGAACAGAAAGATAAAAAAAAGGTGGAAAAAGAATTAATATACATCTGAATAGAGATTTACTATTGAATATAAAATGCAAAAGATAGTCGTAGTGGCAGTTCTAAATAAAAGCCAGCACTTACAGAGACACTTATGTACTCCCTGAAAAAGTCCATGATAACCTCTTCATCAAGTCTCATCCGTTCAATAGTCTCTTCCTTGATGTGGTTTTTCTACAATAATCAAAAGCGAAATAACAATGATCTATAACAAAAATCAAAGATGCCAGAGAAGAATGTGGGCAAGAAAGGTTTTAACTTCATAGTTTAGTAAGGAAAAGAACCTGCACAAGAAGATGATCAACGTAAACCACAACAGTCTCCTCCAGGCAAGCTTCAACAAATCTCCTAAATGATCTTTCTTCAATGTACCTTTAAGCAACAAAAATCAATACCAATAAGCATAAATCTTCTGGTTAGAAAAAACAAGCACACAAGATAATCAATCTCTTTTAAATAAGGACAATAAATTCTTCGACATAAATAATCATATCGTAATTAGTAATGACCCCTGAAAGTGCTAATTATCAAATTAATTTGGAGACAAGAAAACAAAAGATGCTTTGATTTTCAAGATAAGAGGAACACTTGTGCTATTATTATAACCTTGTATAGGTCAGGTTGACTATAAAGTAATTTTAACCAACATTTATATGACCAACTAACGAATGATAGAGGCTCAAGATGTACCATACCATATAATGACAAACCTCATAATTTCGTTTATCTTCATTATTTCCCCCAAGTTACAGCTTACTTGCATACTTTAAACCACATATCATGGAGTGACTTTCTTTCCATCACTCCAGAAATTATAAAATTGATTGGATTATGTGTCTTTGAGCATGAAATTGCATGTGGCTAAATTCAGCTTTGAAAAGTCAACTCATCCCATAAAGTTGGCCATGCACATAAAACCGATAGCTTAAAATGTTTGAGAACTAGCTTCATGCAATGAGGTTCTAACTAGAAATATCATTACCTGTGTGTGGGAGCTTAACTATGTTTACCCTTTTAAACAGATAGAGCGGAGGAAAATCAGCTGAGAAGAGGACGACCAGAAATAAAAAGAAATTGAACTTACATCTTTACATCTGTAAAATAGTCACCAAATGTTGCAACTAGGTATTCTGTAACCTGTCCTTCGCTCCATTCTGGACAATAAAATGGTACAGGCAGATGAAATGGTAAAAAGAACATTTAGAGTACTACTGCAGACAGAAGATCTGTAAAGGTAACAAAAATTGTTTTACCTTTCTGATAAATCTTCACAAGCAACTCCTGCACTCCAGGATCTTCAAAGATAACCCTAACAGTTAGATGCACAGCTTCCTGCCATCAATGAGTAGTTTGGAAACAAGTTCGATGATTCTTGTTATAAATTTAGAATGGTATGAAAAAAGAGAAGAGAATTAATATAAGAGAGAAGACAAGATAAGAGTTTACAATGGTTCAGCCAAACGGCCTACAACAACTTACACTAATCTTAAGGCTAAATTTTACTGATAAAGATTGCGTACCCAAGTACATTTTATAAGTCGTATTTATACACTCGAGGAATGTAGCTAAGGAAGGTATATTAAGGGAAACAATCATAACTTTAGGACCGATAATCCTATAAATTAAGGAAAGATAATTCCTCAAATTAGGGAAACATGATTACCTATGGATACACAATCCCATATTTATACTAACACATCCCGTCAAACTCAAGATAGTAGAGGTGATACCAACTTTAGGTTGAATAATTTACTCAAATTCAAGAATCGAAAGTACTGACATGGAAAAATTGCTGAAAGTGGCAGTGATGGTGGGTGACAAGTTGAGTAAAAATTTAATTGAAGAGCTCCTCAAGGCACCAAACCAAACAGCAACTCACAAGGTGGCATAAGGGCACAACAAGAAAGCACCAAACCAGATTGCAGCTCACAGGGCTTTATAAGATTATGAGCAACACAATCCAAATGGATAGCAATAGCTACATCAAAACAAATGGACAACAGCTCACTGAAGACAAAAACACAAAATCACCCTCAAGACAGTACTAAAACCAGGAAAATGGTGGAAGAATTTCACTCTACTGGCTCTGATACTATGTCATAAATTTAGAATAATATGAAAGAAGACGAGAATTAAGATAAGAGAGAGGAGACTTCAGCAGAACGGCCTACATCCACAGACCCTAATCTTAAGGCTGTATTTTATTGATAAATATTGTTTATCCATGTATATTTAATAGCTCGTATTTATACACGAGTATATCTAAGGAGGTATATTAAATGAAACAATTACAATTTTAGGGTCAATAATCCCATAAATTAAGGAAAGATAATTCCTCAAATTAGGAAACAAATTATGGATACATAATCCCGTAAATTATTCTAACAATTCTCTTCAAAGAAGGATGTCTAGCTAGACAATGTTGCTACAAAAACAAACTACCACTACCTATACATGTATCAGAAATGCAGTAGAATAATAGACTTATAATGACCAAACTCCATGCTGCATTTACATGGTTGCACCATCAACTTTGCAGCTGGTGCATTTAGCTTTGTACTTTTTTGGTCACTGCACCAAGAAGCATCAGAACACATGGATGGAGGAAAAACAACACAGATG